TCAGAGTTCTGTTTTCACAGATCTCAATTCACATTATAATTTCATGAAGCACTGTGAGTAATCTTCATCAGATTTCTCACCTCTTTTTCTAATATTGATGATCACAGCTCAGATGTTCTCTGTTCAGCTCACAGAGTTTCTCAACTTATTCTCTAGATAGGTCTTGAGAACAGATCAGTAGAATCTCTTATAATCATTTTCTAGATAATTCAGTCAGTTCTTGACTTCAGTGTAATAGAGGTCTGTTATTATATAGATAATAGCATAGATGGCAGGTAAAGAACCTAATAGCATTCATAGTCTGAGTGAGAGCAAAAAAAGAAGCAATGGAAAAAAAGAAAAGATCCCAACCCGTTTCGCACGATAATAACCCACATGGAAAAAAGAAGGAAAACATGAAGAAAGAAAAATATGAAGAAAGAGCACGATGATGATAGGCATAAAAGACATAAAAACATGAATGAAAAAGAAGAAGCGTGAAGACATAATATAAAAGGGGGAAAAGGGAAAAAGGGCTTTTTGCCTCCCTGCAAGAAAAAAAAAAAAAAAAAAAAAAAACCTAGCTTCTTCTTCTGGCTTTTCCCTCCCCTTCCTATTCTTAATTTCGTCATGGAATAAAACACATCACGCACATCAAAATGGTCAAGAACAATGGTTCAAGTAAAATAACAGGGGAAAATAAAAAGTGAAAAAAAAAGAAAAAAAACCGCGAATAGGACCCCCTTCGGTTTTATCCCAAACCAGAAAACCAACCCATCGAACTGACCCAATTGCAAACGCCACGGGTTATCCACCTCCTTCCTCTTTCCTATCCCCCCTCCCCCCGCTCAAATCCAAATTCGCAACCTCAATCACCCCCTTCAACTCCGCTGGTGAAACCTCCGGCCCCAACTCATCATCCTCCACTGCCGAAAAGGACTCCACGGGCGTCAAATTCTCATCCTCACCTTCTGTAGCAGCAGCAGTGCCAGCAGTGGCGGCACCAAGTTCAGTCCCCAACTTTCCCGCGCGCGCCTTTTTCCGCGTCTTCTCGACGATCTTGTCCGCTTCGCTGATGCCGCCGAGTTGGCTTGGGGGTGGGAAGGATTCGGCGTTGTTATTATCAGTAGTAGCATTATTGGGAGTAGTATTACTTGAGGCGGCACCGGTAGTATTATCTGTCATAGCTGGTGGGCCGGCCGACGTGCGTCTTTGTCGTTCTATCGCTTCTTGGATGGCCTTTGTGTCGAAGCGGACAATCATGCAAGAGAGATTGTCGGTACTAAAGCGGGAGAGGGCGTGGTCGACGAGGATTTTCGAGGCGAGTTGCGGGTCCTCTGTGCCGCGGATGAGGTCGACGGCTTCTTGGTCGGAGCAGACATCCCATAACTGTAGACAGGAAGAAAGATAAGATACGATTAGTTTTTGGCAAGAGAAGAATAAACTAGTTTCAAAGATGAAAAAAAGCTCAAAGCAAAATACTCACACCGTCGCAAGCTAAAATCAGAAATTCATCCGTCTCAGGTTGAATGACCGTCTCCGTTGTGTACGGGTGGCCAGTGACGAGGTCTTTCATGTATGAATCCCCTAACGCCCGAGTGACAGCAAGAACGCCGTTTACGCGGTTATTCAAGATAAGGCCGCCTGCATTGGATATTCGTTTCCCCTCGTTCTCATCGCTGCCCTTGTGATCGTACGATAATCGAAGCGCCTTGCCATTCCGACATAGGACAACTCGTGCATCACCAACGTTCGCGGTATATAGTACACGTTGTCGCACGACTGTCGTTGTTTCTTGGGGCTGTTTCTGGTTTGCGGATCCTGGTTGGGCTGAGGCGGGTAATCCCGACGGTTCTAGAGATGAGGATGTCTGCACGGCTGGCGACGGGTTTATGTTACTATTATCCTTTTCTAGAGCTGACTTGCTGGGTGTCGCCAGCGGGGAGGATGAAGTCGCATTGGGTGGAGGAGCAGGGGGAGATGACAAAGCAGGTCGATCTTCCCATCGCAAGACTGCAGTGACAGCAGTGCAGCCGCTGTTTTTCAACGGGAGTTTTTCCAATTGCTGATCCACACTAGTGAATGCTTGGTCCAGGAGCTCTGGCACAGGCGCATTCGGGTGTTTTCTCATAATATCCTCTAAAATAAGATGTAGCTTTTTCCCACACCACTCCGCCGCGAAAGTCCCAGCATGCCCGTCAAAAATGGCAAAGTATCCGTTATCCGTTTCAATCATAGGTGGCAAATCGTCAGACTCTGTAGATGTAGATATTGAGTCCTCGGAGTTTTTGCTGCGGACAGAAGAATCGGCTCTGGCGGGCGTGGGGGCTGCTGTTCCAAGAAAATTATACAGATAGGCATGGGTATCTTCCATAGTCCTTCGACATTTTCTATTCTTATCTTCTGTGACTCCAACCCGAAACGACGAGCGCGCAGTTGGCGCTGATTCACCGGCTGAGTTATTCAGGGACCCTTGCGGCACAATCAAGGCGGGATCCATCTTCCCCAGCTTCTGCATAGGCGTTAGGGCTTGCTGTTCCCTATGGGACTCCCGTGGGCTTGAAAGGTGCAGGGAATTTTTAGCGTTGGAGAAGAAATTGACAGCCTTGGTCATAGAGCTACTTCGTCGCTTTGGCTGCTCCGCTGATGGGCTCGGGTCCTCGTTGCGGGGAGACAGGGAGTCGCTAGGCGAGGTGGCTTTGTTTCCGCGGCCAGCGGCTGTATTCTCCGTACTGATAGATAGAGTCGCCGAACCAGGGCGGGAGAGAGGGGAGGAATCGTCTTTCTCTTTGGTAGGGCTCGTGGAGCCACCGAACATTCTGTTCAGCAACCCGCCCTGGTTAGAGGAGAAGGTCCTCCGCTTGCTTCCTGCCAGCTTGACAATCCAACCAAAACACGGGAGCTTCAGTGTCGATGGGACAGAGAGGGTGTGGACGGGCGGCGAAGTTTGTATTCATTTATATCCTCCCGGGACGTCTTTTTTTTTTTTTTTTTTTTTTTTTTTTTTTTTTTTTTATCGATTCTTTCTATTTATTTATTGTATTGTTTCTATCAAGTTTGAAAATCGCGAAGCGTGACGAGCGGGGCCCTGGACTGAACATTGAAGTGGAAGTGTCAGTCGCATGCCACAAGTGCATATTTAGTGAAACAACACGATCTGAGTATTATCATGTAAAGCAGAGCAATTAATTATAGTCGGATTCCGTGCCTAGCAAACTCAATCCCACTCGAGTGCGCCCGGACATCCAAGGTGATGGCAAGCGGCAAAGTAGGATATTGGAAGCACAGTTACCTCGGAAGCAATGATGACCAAACCCTTTTAAGGCTCGTGGATAACTACCACGGGAACAGCAATATCTCGTCAGCAAGATTCCATCTAGGGACCCCAGCGTGTGAATCGATGTGGACTAGGGCCCGGGGGGGGGGGGGGGGGGGTGTCAGTAAGGTGTAGCAGGCGTTTTGTAGCTAGAGGATTGTTTGTGGTTGTTGTTGTGGTGAAGATTGTGGTTATTGCTGATGATGTTGTTGTTTGTCTGGGAGGTGAGCACGAGGCAGGGTTATACAGCAGGACTTTTCTGCAATCAAGATAAATTAGGTACTTTTTATAAACAACCATGCCGCGAGGAATCAAAAATCATGGCAGCGCAAAGCATTGAAGGAGAATTTTCTGCGAAATATAACTTAAAAGAGCAGTTATTTTGATCCGTGGGTTTATTATGGGGACAGAATAGCCAGGGCGGGGGCAATATAGAGTAGAAAAAAAACAGACCCCCACCCACCCATAATGACGGACAGCACAGGGGCAACGGGGAAGATGTAAACAATTTAATATGCAGGGAGCAGTGGCTTACTTTCTAAGTTGTAGTTGTAGAATTCGGAGATTCTAAAGGGGAGCGCGGGTTCAGTTCATGGAGGAGTGAGTGTGGTGTGGTGGGGAGATGAGACGACGCCGGGAGTAGAGTAGGAGGATAAGGTGGGTTTGGACTGAGGCCAAGGTCTCTCGAGGCAGCGCTAAGCAGTGATTGGCTGACTGTATCCTGTGTCGTAGTGACGAGAGAGCAAAGAGACACAGAGCAGAGACACAGAGCAGAGACAACGACGAGTGCTGGAACGTACGTGGAGAGAGTTGTCTAGCTAAGTTAGTTCTTATTCTTATGTAGTTATGGGCTTGGCTGGCTGCAGGTTGTTGCCCGCGTGTTGCCCGTGTTGCCCGCCGGGCTGGGCCTTAGCGGGGGTTATTAATAGGCGCACGCCCCGCCAAGACTTAGTGTTACAACTTCTACTTTTTAACTGCGTATACACTTGGATAGGATTTGTTATCGAACACCCTACGTATATCATCAAAGGGTTATATAGCTCCATTGTTTCACTACCCACGAGAGATGTTACCAGAAAACAACGTTACTAGCTTCGATGCATAGATATCTCCGTGAGTGGGTGTAACGGGTAACTCTAGATACCAACCTCCATGCGATTGATGTATCACTGTCCATTACATATTCGTAGCAAGAAAAATCTACGAAAAAATGGAAGTAAAAATAGAAATAGAAATAGAAATAGGAAGTATATGTAGCAGTCCGTAGCGTGGAAATCAAAACGCCAAACTCCGCTGCCTGCCACACAAAAGAAAAAGGAGGGAAAAACGGGAAAAAGGGGAAAAAGGGAATATACAGCAAGATGATAGATCACCGACGGAGACTGTCTAATCTTGCCTGTAAATCGTCGTCGTCTGTATTTGCACCGGCACCGCCACCGCCACCGACTGCCTGCGCGACTCGTCCCTCGGGGACAGATGCCTTTTGCAATTCCGAAGGCGTCTCTCCCATCTGCGATAGTTAACTGTCAGCAAACATAGTACTTTATAGAAACACATATCTCTCGAAAATATTCAAAGGAAAAAAGCAACAAGGAAAAAAAAAAAAGGAAAAAAAGGAAAACCATACAGCTTGCCCGAGATCAACACCAATCTCATCCAGGACCTCTTTCACAATCTCCTCGCCTTCCTCCTCATCCTCTATTCCCGTGGCCTCGTCAATGGCATCGTCCATCAACTCCTGCCGCTGGTCCATGATTTCATTCTCCCGTTCGAATTCCATGGCTATCCGTTGTAGCGCGGGGAGGTTCATTTGTCTGTTCATGCTGCCCAAAAGCATTGTTGCGCCTCTCATGGATTGCATCATCTGCTCGTTACTCCTAACGGTCTATACAAGGCAACCCGATAGGTGTTAGCACGTCCTGGTACCCGGGGAAAACATAACCTCTGTTCTAAAGGCTCGTTTGTTTTTTTGCGCCGCAAGCAAAAATCGTACCTGGATCCGGAGGGAGATGGCTTGTAGCTGTGTTCGCATTGAGTAGAACTTTTGGATATACCTAGAAGAAACGATGACAAAATAAGAATAATCGAATCAGCAACCATGAGGTTTTGAATGAAATGATAACACACAAGCAGTGTATAAATCGCGGAAAAGAGGTTCCCTAGAAAGGAAAATATATCGACATACCGCCTCGTCCTAACCAGATCTTTCGCCTGAATCTTGCAGGCCCCTATTTGCCCATTCTTTGCGCTCTTCTTGATATCCTGCACAAGCTTCTTTTCCTGGTTTTCCAGCTTAACACGTTCTCTATCCAGTTCGCGCTGCGTCTTTTCCAGGGCCCGTTGGTGTTTTCGCAGACGCTCTGCGGGGGTCATCCGCTTTCCAAACGCCCATTCTACGATCTGGTTGCCTAGTAAGCAGTCGTTCTAACGCGGGGTATGGTATTGGTACGTACATTCATTGCGAGTTGTTGTATGAGAAGGTAAAGAGAGAGGAAAATATAACACCCGGTAACTATCACAGTGTGATAGACAGCAGCAGCAGTAGCAGCAGCAGCAGCAGGAGGCTGGATTGCACTTATTTAGCTGGTCTCTAGAACAACGGCTTGGTGCTCTGAATAATGTCGCGGTGACGATGTTCTGCTTCGGCTGCTGATTGCCCAGAAGCGCCACGCCAAGCCCGGGACAATCAGATCCGGACCATCAGCAATAATTCTTTTCCACCCAACGTCATTAACCCGTTTTCCTCTGCAAAAACCCCCCCGGTTCAACATCCACACAACTACCACGTCTCAAACGACCCCTCTTCATTTCATGCGGGTGCTCACTCATCTCCTTTGATCGGCGCAGTTCGCTTGCTTGCCATGAGTCAACAGTATTTCCCGAGTGAGGCCGGCTCGGCGGCTGGCGAGGGCTCCTCCAAACACGCCACTGGAGGAGAATCTTCGAACAGCTCGCATCACCACGGCGAAGGGCCTGAGTATATGGTCGTCGGGTCCGGATCGGTTTCTCACAACGTGACATCGCTGATGGCGTCGCTGAATCACGATTCTGGCTATGGGGGTAGCATAATGGGCGAGAGTGCGGATGGATTGATGGGGGACCGGCCGACACCTTCGCACACACCAGTTGTTCCGGGTCAGCTCAATGAGGCTGGTTAGTTTATGGTTTAATTCTGCTGATTGGGCCTCTTTTTAACTAACAGATATTCGTTCTATATAGCCGAGCACGAAAGACAGATTGTCGCAAGCCATGTCCACCAATTACTATAGTATGTCTTGCTCCTTGACCCCGATCCACATTTCTCCCTTTTCCCCATTTTAACCCTTTTATCTGTTCTCTCTAGCAACTCGAACCGAACCCAGCTTAGTCGCTCGATTACCCGCACCGTAGAACTTCTCAAAGAGCTCCAGCAAATGAACCGCAAGTGGCCCGCTCATTACCCACCCGTCCAGTCCACTCAACCCACATCCTCATACCCACCTGGTCCACAGCGTGTACAGTCATGGCAGGTCGATGCAGCAAATTCCAATCCTTTCGAAAGGCCAGACCCGTTGCGACGTACGACTGCAGGAGTAGACGGGAGTGCGATTCCTGACTCTAGCGAAGCTGCAGAAAACAGACCGCCTCCCGGGCCACGGCTAGTGACGCCGCAGATCGCCCAAGAGTTTTCCATCTTGAAACTAGATCTGAAACTCGGCGCTTTGTCGCAGTCAGAGTTGGTTCATTCACTAGAAAAAGGCTCGATTGCGTCTTTGCTAGATGGCAGGGTCAGCCAGAGCATCAGACATTTACTATCTTTAAGGGATAGAATAGAAGATTTGTCCAGTAAGGTGTTGATTACTGGTGATCTTAATGCTGGCAAATCGACGTTCTGCAATGCGCTGTTGCGTCGCAAAGTTCTGCCAGAAGACCAGCAGCCGTGCACGAGTATTTTCTGTGAAGTGCTGGATGCGAGAGAAAATGGTGGCGTTGAGGAGGTCCATGCCATCCACAAGGACCGACCGTATAACCGCAATGATGAGAGTACATATGACGTATACTCCATACAGGACCTGGAATCGATAGTGGTGGACAACAGCAAATATATGCAGTGCAAGATTTATCTAAAGGATGTAAGGACAATTGACGAGTCATTACTAAACAATGGCGTGGTCGATATATCCATCATTGATGCCCCCGGCCTTAACTCTGATTCCGTCAAGACCACTGCTGTCTTCGCTCGACAGGAGGAAATCGACGTGGTCGTTTTTGTCGTGTCCGCTGCAAACCATTTTACCTTATCAGCACAGGAATTTATCATGAATGCCGCCCACGAGAAAGCTTATATTTTTATTGTTGTGAATGGCTTTGACAATATCCGGGATAAGCAACGATGTCAACAAATGGTTTTGAAGCAGATTGCTAAATTGAGTCCACGGACGTTTAAGGAGTCTGCTGAACTTGTTCACTTCGTATCGAGTAATGCGGTCCCTGTTATGCCTGCTATCACGGCTGGTGGAGGCGGAGGAGGAGGTGATGGTGATGGCGGTGATAACGGTCTAGACCTGGATGACGAGGATGGCTCAAAGGGCAAAGGAAAGGCCCCAATTGCAGCGGACGATAAGGGAAAAGGGAAGGAGAAAGAGAAAATTCAGGACTTCGAAAACTTGGAGGGTGCATTGCGCCGATTTGTCCTTGACAAACGCTCAAGGTCGAAACTTGCTCCGGCAAAGACCTATCTATTAAACATCCTTTCTGATCTGCATGTTCTTGCCTCTGCGAACCGAGATGTCGCTTCATCCGAACTCGATCGCATGACAAAGGAACTCGAAGAACTCGTGCCCGCCTACGAAGAAAGCATGAAGAGTCGAACAGAAGTTACCGAGCAGCTTTCTAATTCTATTGATGAGTCGTGCGAGGAAGTCTATAACCATTCTCGAACAACTTTGTCCACCAGAGTAGCGACACTTGGTGAAGCTACTCTTGGCGTCGAATACCCGGGTTTGTTCTCCGCGTTCCAGTATGCGGAAGATCTGAAGGTAGCTATGCTCGACGAGCTTGCTGCCACCGTCTCCGCGTGCGAGGATTACGCTCGCGGAAAATCCGTCCAGGGAGTCAACATGATCCAGAGCATCGGCCTCCTCCACGTCGGAGAAGATAAATTCCCCAACCTTAATTTCCGCGCGGATCTTATGTTCAAGCAAAAGCGACATATCACTGCCAGGCAGATCGATACTGAAATCGATATATGGGACTTTTTCGACATCGCTGGCCTGTGGCATCGGCAGGAAAAGGTAGCTGGGACCAGCATGGCGATGACTCTTGTCACTGTCCTTGGCGGAAGAGCCTTGGGAGGATCAAATTGGATCGACGGTGCGCTTGGTGCTGCTAGGATTCTGGGAACGAACAATATGCGTCGGATGATCGTGCCTGGCATGGTCGCAGCAGGTGAGTTTATTTTTCCTCTTTCCAGTCGGACCGCTTCATTAACCCCGGGGAACCCCTTTTCGTCCCCAACACGAGCTAACAATACCATCTTGAATTTCTTAGCACTATTAACCGCATCATACCTCCTCACCCAAATCCCCACCGCCCTCCCCACAAACATCTCGCGCAAACTCTCCGAATCCCTCGCAGAAATCGATTACATTCACACCAATGCCACCCGCATCTCCTCTGAGGTGCGTCGCGTCCTCCGCATGCCCGCATCCAGGCTACAATCAACCCTCCAGACAGCCACAGAAGAACTAGCCAAGCGCAAAGCCGAAGTCGGCAAGACCAAGGAAGAGAGCGAAGTTGCCAGCAAGTACTTCTCGAATCTATTCCGCGAGAGCAGGGATACTCGCAGGGCGGTTGAGCAGGTTGATCTAGAATCACCCCTGCCGGGCAGTATGGCGCAATATCAGCAACAAGCAGCGCGAGGTTCGCGTTCTTGATTTTCTTCTTCCTCCCCCCCCCCCCCCCCCCCGGGACGAATAAAAGAGCTAGTCAGGGAGGGGCATGGGGATAATGTATCATCCTAGCTGTCTGACGTCAATCATCCCATTCGTTTTTTATTTTTATTTCTTTTTATTTTTGCTCCTCCTTTTTGCTTCACAGTGGTTGATGCATCACCTCCTAGACATCCATGCATACACCTCTTTATTCCTTTGCGTTTCTAATGCTTCTCATCTTCACATGTATGTATTTACGCAGTATGTACTAACGCCTTTTTCTTTTCTCTATCTTCCATGTAAATACCCCCTATCCGCTCCCTTCTTTACACCGTCTTTTTTTCCCTCACAACATCTCCCATCTCACAACCAATTACATACTCAAATGTGCATGGGTGTGAATAAGATTGGTCATCTATATATATTGTATAGTTCACGATGTAGATATGGTGCCTTTGTTTCATTTTACTACACCAAACAAGTAAAATTGAATGGAGCACTTATTACATGCTTGTGTAGATTTCTTTTGCCCTTTTTCCCTCTTGTTCCTCTGCCATGTTTATTTTTATTTTTATTTTTATTTTTGTTCTTTTTTTCCCTTGGTATCCTAAAGGACAAATTACCCCGTCAACGCCCTATTTCTTTTTCCATTTCTTCTCCCCCGAGCGCGCAAAATCATTACCTGAAGCAAAGCATTCTGCTTTTATTTTTGCGGGGACCCGAAGCGCTTGGTGTACATTAATTTATAGCTAGCTACAAGTGGATAACTGTCCGGGGTTTATGCAATTCATTTTTTGACTATGATCTTTTTGTGGTTGGCATGCAGCTTCCTTCCTTTAATGCTGTACTTAATTCCCTCTTGTAAAAGCCCATTCTATCGAACCCTCTTTCTATCGATAACCTCGGACTTATCGGTTTAGAATAGGCGAGTTGAAATACACTTCATCCTACTATCATGCCTTTGTCTCAGCAGACAATATATATATTATCCAAAATGGCACTGGAAGCCACAGGGCGCCTTATTTACTCGCCATCAGAGTGTGCTCAGGACATTTCTCTAGCCCCTGATGACGTGACGCCAAAACCAAAATTTGCACCAAAGAAGAACAAAAAAAACACCTCCCCGCTTCCAAGAGAAAATTTGAACGAGTAATCCTCACCAACCAAAATATCACGCCTTATTCCCTCGCTTTGATGACTGCCAGCACAGAACGCGATCAAGCTTGTAAGATTTTGGCACACCTTCTGTGCGATGTGTATATACACGGATATATCTGTACGAGAAAGAAAATGGAGCCATAGATTAAAAGAAATCACACAATCATAACCCCTCATACGTCACCCCTTTCCCCGACCTTCTAGTCCTCCTCCTATTCCCCCACCCATCCAGTGCCTCGTTCTCTTTAAGCACCAAACTCTTCGAGGTGATCTCACGGTGCCTAGCCGTGGCCGTGGCGGCAGCGGAAGCCCCATCTTTCCCATCCGCCACCCCCGCCGCCCCGCCATCAATCTTAGCTCTCATAGCCGCCGCATCGGGAATCTCATAGCCCAACTGCGTCAGATCTGGCGTGTCATCGTCGTCCGGGAACCCGGCCCCGCCATGATCGCGCATAGAGCCGCCATGCGGGAAATCAGCCGTCGTATGAGTGCGGAACATTTCCAACCGAGACTCCAGCAGCTGCTGCGCCTCTGTCTTATCCGTCTTCTTGTTTACGAGAACGGAGGAGGTAGAGACGCTGGGGGCGTTGCTGTGGGCTTTGGGGGTCGAGGAGCTGTCGAAGCCGAGCCCGTCGACGACGCTGCCGTGGCCGTCTTCGTTCATGGTGTCGATGGAGCTGGCTCGGGATATGCGCGTGTCGCCGCCACCGCTGCCGCCTGGTACGGTGGCACTTAGTAACATTGAGGAATGCGAATTGGCGCGGCCAAGGAGCTGCTTTCTGCGCTTGCGCTGCTGCTGCTGTACACCGTTGCCAGTACCGTCTCTATCTTCCAGGCTGGATGGTTTGGAAGAAGCTGCCCGGCGCTTTTGTTTTAGGAATTCATTCAGGGCGCTGTCGAGAGTCGTTTTGGAATCCTGGTTATTATCGTTATTATACTCGTTATAATCATTATTGTTATTATTATTATGAGATTCTTCTGCTGCTGGGTGCCTTGGTCTGACAGATGGCACGGGGAGGGTGGGGACAGGGGTTTGGTTGCGCTTTGAAGGGGACGGGGAACGGCTGGCTGTTTTCCGTGGCGAGTTTGCTGAAAGCTCTTGGAGGGCGCTGCCGGGTGGGACACTTGGTTCTCGCGCTACTGGAGTGTATTTCCATTTTTCTTTAGTTCGGGCAGGAAGTGTGGGTTGTTTAGCTGTGTCTGGGCCGGTGTGTGGGGATATTTCATCTTCTAACAGCGCCTTACGCTTCTTGGGTTCATTTTGTTTCACTTCATCCCGTTGAATAAGTTGGGTCGGACATCTAGTGTCCTGAGGCTGTCTATACTCGATTATATACGGTGTGAACGGTTTTCTCTCCCCAGTCTGAACTGAAATCCATAGCCAATCCGCAATGACAGCTGGGATATTCCATTCCGCGACATGTCGCAGTTTTTCTTGATTCGGGTTTCCACTGTTGCAGATAAGCACTGATGCTTTGGGCGTGAGAAACTCGTCATAGGTAGCCCCTAGTAACAAATTAGCACCAAATTGTCGCTCATGGGGATAAGGCATGTCAAAACACATACCCATTACCTTGACGAGCTTCGAAAGATGTAAGAGATCAATACCGGAAAATCCAGTCGAGCAAACTCTCAGCCCTTGGAATGCTATTCATAGTTAGATATATGCAGTGTTTAAACGAACAAGTTTTACGAACCTGGTATTGGGAATTTCGGGAAGGGAGTGCTAGTAATATGTGCCTCAGGAGGCACGAGAGCATTGTTATGCAGGCACTTCTCAATCCATAGGTCCGTCACAATTTCTGGCTCTACGACAAAGTCATCAATAGATGGGAGTTCGGAACGTGGTAAATTATGCGGCACGAGTATATACATTGCGGGTCCACTTGTTGGGATGTCTCCTGCAAGTTCATTTAGGCACGCAACGATTTGAGCATCACGAGAGCGCAGGTGAGTCTCCAAAATTCTAGTCTAGCGGAACGTTAGATATGCGGATAAGGTGGTGAATAACTGCATTGCTTACTTGACTTGAAGAGAACCCTTTTATAAAAAATCTAGCGCCGAACCAAAATCCACGGCGAGCTACATCAAGCTCCTGTGATTTTTGTGTGGACATTTCGGTCATGGCAGGGCGAGCTCTTTCAGTTATGGTAGTCTCGCTAGCGAAGGACTTTAGTTCTTGGATCACCGCTGGAGTATCAGCCATTTGCCCGCTAGGATCAGTTTTAATGCTAGCACTCGAGTTTGAGGTTCTCGTAGCGTCCCCTACAATATCTGTCCAGATATCCTCGTTTTGGCCACCCAGTTTCATGCTTGCAACTCTGCGGATTTTCCGAGTCCGTTGAGGATTGGTTATGGCCGCTTTGGGTCGCTTCACGGGAACTCCCGGGGCGGATCTATTCCATGCGCCAATGCCCTGCTCTTCATCCGGGAGCAGAGGGTCATAGAGGTTCTCATCAAGAGCCATCCCTCGCACAAGGCTGTCTTCAAGCCACTTTAGGCTAACCACTGTTATTTTCCACAGCATTGCATACTTATATTTTTGACTATATCCAGATCGCGCAATCAGATGGGTGACACTCTTTGTAAGATCCCGGCGAAATTCCGCTCCATTGTCCGTGATCGTCTTCTGTAGGGAGTTCCTGTGATTCACTTTTCGTGGTGAGCAGACTGTGTACACCGACAAACGAGAAGTGACAAAACATTGCATCGCTTACTGTCGTCAAATCCCGTAAGGCATATAGATAAGCCAGCAAATGTGGGATATCGATATTGTTCTTCCAGCTCCTGAAGATTGGTATCCCCCCCAAGTACCCAGGATGACCGGACAGCTTCAACCCATTCCGCCTTTAAGACCTTTATGTCAGCCCGCTCCTTGGCCACATATCTATATTTTGGGGTATTCAGTTCTCCGACGATCAAATGCGTGACATCTGAAGTGAGATCAAATTTATGGACAGCTCCCATCTGGGTGGCCATGGAAGCTATTTCTTCCTATATGAACCATCAACAACTGGAGAAAATTGAGGTATGGATCTGGAGAAGACAAACCTACCCGGTACTCTGGCAATATCGACGTACAGCAAAGAATCACCCCCGAAAGAGGGCGTTCCTTGTCTAATATCTATCAGCATAAGAATGGTATTTTATAGAGCACCAGATTACCTACCTGGTACAACCTCCCCTTCCATGCTTCATAATCGAAACCAATTCCACTTGCCCATAACATCAGCTAAATTGGTAAGTTAGGGTTGAGCTTTCCAAATATCAATAGCCAACACCGAACTGTCGCATAAATGTTTCTTCGTATTAAATCATTGTTGTCGACGGTAGCTGCAAACACGCGACCCAGAGCCGCCGAACACGCGATCACATGACCTTTATGCTCCAATTCAGTAAGGTTTACTTGACAAGTCACGTGATTATTTAATTGACATTTCTGCGCGTCTTCAACCCGCGCGTCCGAAACAGATAAATAATAAGAAAGCGCAAAGACAGACAGACAGACAGACAGACCTCCTATAGAGACGGCGATGGCATCGACAACTACGAACGGTATACACGGCACATTACAGTAATCCCCAGGTTAATTGGTTTGTCTGGGTGTTACGCGCAGTTGTTTATGTCCAATTACACTCGTTTGACTCGAGCTTCGACTGCAATTGTTAGCCCTTCCTTCATTATTCGGCTGGCCTTACGGTTGTCGTTCCCATTTACGTCCCACCGAGGGCGAGGCTTTGCGATGTTTAATCAAGCGGTCCGCAACCATACTGCTCCTGCGAGAACTCTTTTTCCAAAGGCTGCTCCTCCGAACAGAGCTGCCCCTGTTTCTTCTAGTCAAACTGCTGGGATAAAACGAAAGTTGGATGCTGTCCAGCCCGCTCCGGAAACCCCCTTAGCGGTACTTCATAGCAACGTGTACTTTGATGAGAATGATTTCGACGATGATATTGATCTAGACGAGCCTACCAGCTTTTCAATAAACCTGACTCAATCGCAGTCGTTCGCTTCCTCTCGGATTCAACCACCTGAACTCCCTCCCCCCCCCGAACAGCCGGCACCGCCAAGTGATAATGCTCCTCCAAGCACTCTTCCACTTCCGTGGTCATCTTCCCCCCCTACAAATTTACTTCCTCCAGCAAAACGGCGTACTTTACCATGGGAAGCCAATGAAAACCCTGAACCGGAAAACAGGCCTCGAACGAAACCTGCACCAAGATCTGTTATCCGCACTCCAGCTCCTAATAAACCGTCATCCTTACCATGGGATAAGACTATGAGTGCTGTGAAGGAGGAGCAGAAAGAACTGCGAAAACAACAGAAGATACGTGTGAGCTCCGAGAAAAACCAGCAGCACCTAGGCACAAGAGCTCCAAAAGTCGCGTCTATCTTTCTAAGCGAAGAACAAAAAAGAGTAGTAGAAGCCATCGTTAAGGATGGCAAGAGTATATTCTTTACAGGTTCTGCTGGGACTGGTAAATCAGTTCTCATGAGAGAGATCATCAGACAACTACGGCTAAGATATAAAAGAGAGCCTGACCGTGTTGCTGTCACTGCGTCAACAGGACTTGCAGCGTGTAATATTGAAGGTGTCACACTTCATAGCTTTGCCGGGATTGGATTAGGAAAGGAGCCTGTAGCAGACCTTGTAAAAAAGGTTAGTGAGGAACTAACCTCCGTTGTTAATTGAAGCCTCTCATTGACAACCCCCCCTCCCCCCAGGTGAAACGAAACCAGAAGAACAGGACCCGGTGGTTGAGGACTAAAGTTCTCATCATTGATGAGATTTCGATGGTTGACGGTGACTTGTTTGACAAACTTGAGGAGATTGCTCGCAAGATCAGGAATAACGGTCGCCCATTCGGAGGCATTCAGTTGGTTGTTACTGGTGACTTTTTTCAACTGCCCCCGGTGCCAGATTCAACCAAAGTGGCGAAGTTTGCTTTTTCAGCTTCCACCTGGAACACCACTATCCAGCACACAATTCTTTTGACCCACGTCTTTAGGCAAAAGGATCCCAAATTCGCTGCTATGCTGAATGAGATGAGATTGGGGAAATTGAGCACCGAGACGATTGTAGCCTTCAAAGAGTTAGCTCGCCCCCTAGTCGACGATACACTAGAAGCAACAGAACTGTATGAACTATTGTCCCGTGTTTGAAATTGCTCAGCTGATTCTTGAGATTAGATTTCCCACCCGATCAGAGGTCGAAAATGCCAACTCTGCGAGAATGAGCAGGCTATCTGGTAAGACGATGGTGTTCACAGCTGTCGATGGCGGAACAATGCAAAACGAAGCGCAACGTTCACAGCTCTTGGCTGACTGTGTCGCACCCACCATTCAACTTAAGAAGGGAGCTCAGGTCATGCTTATCAAAAATATGGACGAATCCCTTGTAAATGGGTCATTGGGGAAAGTGGTTGCCTTCATGGATGAAGCTAAGTTCGACTATTACTGCAAACACGACGCAAATTTTGATGGCGGTTCGGCAAACGATGATCCCAATGAACGAACAATCAACAAATTGAAATCTTATGAGAATGCAACAGGGAGTGTCAGCACGAGGGGCATCTGGCCGGTTGTTAGTTTCGTCCAGCCAGATGGAACGGAGAGACACCTGCTTTGCCAACCAGAGACGTGGAAAATTGAGCTGCCAAATGGTGAAGTAAGAGCGCAACGAACGCAGATTCCGCTCATACTTGCATGGGCACTCTCTATTCATAAGGCACAAGGTCAGACTCTACAGCGAGTTAAAGTTGACCTTGGACGGGTTTTCGAGAGAGGACAAGCCTATGTTGCGCTTAGTCGGGCGACCTCTAAGGATGGCTTGCAGGTTTCCAACTTTGATCCCCGTCGAGTCATGGTTCACCCTAAAGTCTTAGAATTTTATTCCAATTTATCTAGCATACATAGCATCACAGACGCAACCAATACCAATGCCAATGCCAACTCCGTTGCGGACGGGAATGCCAGCGCCGTTGGCACTACCAGCACCACCAGCACAAGCACCAGTACGAACGCAAATACCAACGCTACTGCCAAACAGAGCCGTGACCAAGCCATGACTGTCAAGCGAACAGGTACAGATTACATGGATGAATGGGACGATGAGGTGCTTCAGAGCATATATGCATGAGACGCATATTTTACGTCGCAGTTTTGTATAGAGCAAAGTTTGGCCACATCGGAGCATTGTTAATCATTTATAGGTATATGTACATGTACCATTCAGTCGTCAGGGGTCATCTTTTTTTTTCAGCTTCAGCAAATTTTCGGATTCCTGATAGATCCTTACTAATTATTACTGCACACTCTATGTTTACTTGATTTCTCACTGCATATACAGAGTATAAATAGAGTCATTCCATGCGCGTTCAAGATGCAGGATTTACGGTCATTTCTTCAAGGTTATCGATAAGGGGGTCACGTGTCATCGCAAGGTTTCAATCCTCTAAGCCTCAAAATCGGTCGCCAGAGGGATAGCTAGTTACATGATTTCGAGAACAAATACTTAACACTCTTACCTGTAATATTTCTAGCGCTATTCGAAATCCAAATTTTGACTCTTGCCATTTCTCCATTTACCGCTCTAATTTCGCTATGGCGGCGGACTTCGTGGGATATACCGTCCTCGTTACGCTCAAATCACCCCCAAATTCTCAGGTTCAAGGCGTGGTCGCTGATGTTGCAGGACAGCGA